TGGGTGATGATATTTAGTCCGTAGCATACTAGGATCAAGGGCTACCAAGTTTGTTTAAATATATGACCTTGAATCATATTCAAGGTCACAAGGAGCAAATATGTTTAAAATATTTCAACAACTTGTTCTGAATAACCAAAAGACTCAGGACGTTGATATTTAATCAGTAGCATGCTGGGATCAAGGACTACTATGTTTGTTAAAGTGAATGACTTTGACTTATATTCAAGGTCAAATTTGTCTAAAATCTTTAAACAACCTCTTATGAATAACCATGGGTCCCAGGATGTTTATACTTTGCAAGTTGCATCCTGAGATGAAAGGCTATACAATGTGTTCAACATAATGACTTTGTTCGACTTTCAATCACAGGTGTGAAATGTTTTAAAAAAAATCAACAGGGTCTTTTGAACGAATTTTAATCATAAATACTGATATTTTGCCTGTAGCTTTATTTTAGATCACTTTAAAGGTTACAAGTTTGAGTTTTATACCAGGTGAGCGATGCAGGCCCATTGGGCCTCTTGTTAATGTTGTAGCAGCATGTTTGGATCCTTCATAATAACAGCCCAATCTACTTATACATTCTTATACATTGTCATATTAAAGAATTTCAATAGGTTGACAATAACATATAACTTGTTTGACCAGTGAATACAAATAATGTGTCCAATATATGCTTGATTTTACTGCATAAGGTATTCATTTCATAACTGATAAATTTCACTAAGTTTCGGTAGATTTCATATCAGATATATGATATGGAAAGTGTCTATCTTGTTGTAGAGCCTCTTAAGCTGGCCCTGAGAGTGGAAATCAAGGCATGGAAGCTGTTGTTTGGGAAAGAACTTAACAGGAAATATCGCAATAAAATGGAAGAGGTCTGCAACTTCATAGAAGACTACAGCAAACGCTTGGCTCGTCCAATCCGAGATCTTGAGGATGTACGAGAGGCTATGGCTGCTCTTACTGACATCAGAGAAAACACCATACAGATAGACATGACACTCGGCCCAGTGGAGGTGAGAAGACTCAGTGATCAAAACAAACAGAGACCAGGAAAGCACCATGTTTGATGATATTGCTGAGTCTATTGCTTATGAATTGTTTGTGTCTTTGTGCAACCAGAAAAAGTCTTTGAAAAGCAACCATTTAATGGAGATGGAACAGGTCATATAAAACATGTATAATAAATATTGGTCTGTGAGCGTTGTGATAAATGTGCAACATTACAAGTTGTTTTGTTATTACCAATTAGGAATCCTATGCTATGCTGCAAGATTTTGGGGTCACCATTCCAAAGGAAGAGACAGACAAAGTTGACTCAGTCAGATATTCCTTCCACAAACTCATCTCCAGCTCAGTAAGTCTTTATACATCCACCTCTAGGGTGTGTCATCCATATACACATGGCATCTCATCTGGGTAAAATGATGGAATCGTTGAAATTGGAAGCAGATGATGTTGGTTTATATTTTGCGAGTTTGTATGTTAAACTGTCTCCTCAATTAAAAACTTTTTGATTGGGTCATTATCATGAAACAAAATTCCAGACATTTTTACCAAAAACCCTCATCAACTCCTTGCAGAAGTTTGTTCTTTTGAAACCCTGATTAGGACTGGAAACGTTAACCCAAACATTTGTAAATAAAGGTGTTTACTTGATAAAACAATTTACTTTCAGAATCAGATTCAAGATGAGCTTGTCAGTGTTCAGCCTGGCTTCAAGAGTGAGCTACTCACTTCTGTGGAGGTCTTCCATAAAGATGTTTCCGATTTTGGACTCAATTATGACACTGTACGTATCATCCATACACACTGAAACGCGCTTCTAGCACTTGATTAGCCAAAAAACATTGGTGCACTAAATTTTAATGTATGGACTGGCATATGGTTATCTGGTATCTATCTCTTATGGAGTGTCATTTTGATTCACTTTATAATTATTTTATTCATGCCAGCTATAGCCATTACATGTTCAGAGTTTCTTGTTATCAAAAATATATATTTTATATACAGAGTATAGGACTTAACCATTTTATGACAAAGAGATGGTTTACGTGTTTGTTTTGCAGGAAGGACCCATGTGTGAAGGCATTACTCCAACTGAAGCCAATGACAGATTGCAGGCATTCCAGGTGTGTAGACCAACTTGTTTATGTATCAGACTACACACTGATGGGTGGAGGTGTAACAATAGATCTCACTGTTGAAATATTATAAGTATAGTGGGTTTAGACTGAGTCGATCGTCAGCAACCAGGTAGCTCAATTGGTAGTGCACCTGTCTAGAGTTTGGAGGAGCCTTTTGTTTGAGTCCCGACCTGGTCATGCATTTTACCGCTCCTGTTACACAAATATCATCACAATTCAGTACATGAACATTCAGTATATCTTAATAATTGCAGTTCTGTAATAAAAAAAACACCAAAATACAAAGTACTTAGCAAAGAAATTGGTATGTCCACATTTAACTTGTTACATGTCGTTAATGTAACAGTGACCATGGCATTATGAAGCATTTGAAATACCTAAAGGATTAGTATAGTAACTTTTGGTTGCTTAACCTTGCACCAACTTTTGTGACTAAAAAATTAGATTGATGGCTGTACAATAAGTCTTCAGTATAACTGTACAGCAGGTTTGGTATCTTAATGTTAACTGTTTGGTTGATGTCCGAGTTATAGATATTAACTTGTCCACAGAGTCAGTTTGATGAGCTGTACAATAATTCTTCAAAATGACTGTACAGCAGGTTTGGTATCTTAATGTTAACTGTTTGACGTCCCAGTCATATATATAAACTTGTCCACAGAATCAGTTTGATGAGCTGTACAATAAGTCTTCAGTATAACTGTACAGCAGGTTTGGTATCTTAATGTTAACTGTTTGGTTGATGTCCGAGTTATAGATATTAACTTGTCCACAGAGTCAGTTTGATGAGCTGTACAATAATTCTTCAAAATGACTGTACAGCAGGTTTGGTATCTTAATGTTAACTGTTTGACGTCCCAGTCATATATATAAACTTGTCCACAGAATCAGTTTGATGAGCTGTACAATAAGTCTTCAGTATAACTGTACAGCAGGTTTGGTATCTTAATGTTAACTGTTTGGTTGATGTCCGAGTTATAGATATTAACTTGTCCACAGAGTCAGTTTGATGAGCTGTACAATAATTCTTCAAAATGACTGTACAGCAGGTTTGGTATCTTAATGTTAACTGTTTGGTTGATGTCCGAGTTATAGATATTATAACTTGTCCACAGAGTCAGTTTGATGAGCTGTACAATAATTCTTCAGAATAACTGTACAGCAGGTTTGGTACCTTTATGTTAACTGTTTGATGTCTGAGTTATAGATATTAATCTGTCCGCAGAGTCAGTTTGATGAGCTGTACAATAATTCTTCAGAATAACTGTACAGCAGGTTTGGTATCTTTATGTTAACTGTTTGATGTCTGAGTTATAGAAATTAATCTGTCCACAGAGTCAGTTTGATGAGCTGTACAATAAGTCTTCAGTTTAACTGTACAGTAGGTTTGGTATCTTAATGTTAACTGTTTGGTTGATGTCCGAGTTATAGATATTAATCTGTCCACAGAGTCAGTTTGATGAGCTGTACAATAAGTCTGCAGAATAACTGTACAGCAGGTTTGGTACCTTTATGTTAACTGTTTGATGTCCCAGTCATAGATATTAACTTTCTCCACAGAGCCACTTTGATGAGCTGTACAACAAGTATGGTATTTACAGTGCTGGAGAGCAGCTTTTTGGCCTGACGGTGACAGAGTACCCGAGTCTCATGAGGATCCGTAAGGAGCTCGGCCTGCTACAGAAGCTGTATGGCCTGTACAGTACCGTGATGACTGTCATCAGCGGCTACTTTGACATCCTGTGGACAGAGGTCGACATTGATAAGATCAATGGAGAATTGGGTGATCTTCAGAACAGGTAGGTAATGCATGAATTGACAAAATGTATATAGTTAACAGATTGATGATGTTGTCACGAAGATAAACCACATTTAGAAATGAAATGTATGATTTGTCTAATTTAATCTTTCTTTCGAAGATATCTGCAATATATGAAAAAATGGTCAGCCTGTTGTAGTTTTGGTACATTTGTTACAAGTGTTATTGATCAGTGTCAAATGTTTAATATGTTATTCAAAGCACAAAGTGACTACAAAACTCCATTTAAAGGATATTTATCCAATAAGCTTTTGGTTTTATGTAGATGTCGTCGACTGCCTAAGGCATTGAAGGAATGGCAGGCATTTCTGGAGTTAAAGAAAAAGATTGATGACTTCAGTGAGTCTTGTCCTCTGCTAGAACTCATGTCCAACAAGGCAATGAAGGAGCGCCACTGGGACCGCATTGCTAAGATGACTGGACACACCTTTGACTTTGACTCAGAAAACTTTACACTCAGGGACATTATGAAAGCACCTCTTCTCAAGTACAAGGAGGATATTGAGGTAAGATTCATTCTCCAATAGTCTTTGATCCATCTAATGAATCTTGTTTAGCGTTTCATGACCACCTTGTTTTTTGCAGATATACCATAATGTGTACGATAATTTTTTGTTGCAGTTTTATGTGTAGTTTGATAATATCCTATGCTTATTCTCATAAATGACCAAAAACAATCACTTATATATATTTTGTCATAAAAATGTCTGAAAATCTTTAATCCTTAAAGTATAAAAGGAAGTTGATTTGTTGTTTAATATTCTACCACATAGACAATATGACATTTGACAACAGATCAGGACCTAAATAATGCATGCACATGCATGTAACCATTCCAAAATGTACCCCAACTATATCTATAGATTATGCTGCTGTATTAGGTAAAATACCCTGTATATATCATGATGTGGTGTGGCAATATCATCAAAATAGGTTTGTTTTATAGTGGAATATATAACTCAAGATTCAAAATTTTGGGGAATGATTTAGCTCAGACCTATCACCCTTTGTTAATTTCAGTTTTCAGACATTTTCTCACCCTTTCTTCTTCAACATATAATATGAAAGATGCTGTAAAACATGAAGATGGTTCTAGTATTCAAATATTGGGCATCTTTTAAGTAAGCAGACTCATCTCGGTTAAGCATGATTTATGTTTCTACTATATCGCCATTTTGTCTTTTTGTGTCTTTGATGTACATAAAACAATTGGGCTGTTTTCGTATAAATGGTCAAACCAGTCAGATCACTGTTGTTCGTTTATTATATAAGGTCGGACCTAGTAATCTGATGCTGCTTTCAGGCGAGTCTTGACAAAGCCTTGCAAGTCTTGCATAAACATGTGCAGGTCCGCCAGGATTTATACCCGAAATTGTTACATTTATAAAGGATCAAACCGGTTGTTCCGCATACAGGCCCTTGTTGTTTTGCCCAGGGCACTAACAACATGTTAAATACTTACAGGATGTGTGTATCTCTGCTGTGAAAGAAAAAGACATAGAAGCCAAACTCAGTGTTGTCATTGCTGATTGGAACGGGCGATTACTGAGCTACTCCAACTTCAAGGCTCGCGGAGAGCTATTGCTGAAGGGAGTGGAGACTGCTGAGATCATCGCCATGCTGGAGGACAGCCTTATGATCCTCAGCTCCCTCCTCAGCAACAGGTAATTCACCAAGGAAACAACATGTGGTCAGGTCACTTGGTAATAAGTAGCTAGTGACCTCTGATCCTCAACAATAGGTAAGTTCACTCAGGAAACAACATATGATCAGGGCACTCAGTAATTAGTAGTTAGTGAACTCTTATCCTCAGTAACGAGTAAGTTCACTCAGGAAACAACATGTGGTCAGGTCAGGTCACTTGGTAATTATTAGTTAGTGAACTCTGATCCTCAGCAACAGGTAAGTTCACTCGGGAAACAACATGTGGTCAGGTCACTCAGTAATCAGTAGTTAGTGAACTCTGATCCTCAGCAACGAGTAAGTTCACTCAGGAAACAACATGTGGTCAGGTCAGGTCACTCGGTAATGAGTAGTTAGTGAGCTCTGATCCACATCAGTAAGGAAGTTCACTCAGGAAACAACATGTGGTCAGGTCAGGTCACTCGGTAATGAGTAGTTAGTGAACTCTGATCCTCAGCAGCAGGTAAGTTCACTCAGGAAACAACATATGATCAGGCCACTCAGTAATTAGTAGTTAGTGAACTCTTATCCTCAGTAACGAGTAAGTTCACTCAGGAAACAACATGTGGTCAGGTCACTTGGTAATAAGTAGCTAGTGAACTCTGATCCTTAACAATAGGTAAGTTCACTCAGGAAACAACATGTGGTCAGGTCAGGTCACTCGGTAATGAGTAGTTAGTGAACTCTGATCCTCAACAATAGGTAAGTTCACTCAGGAAACAACATATGATCAGGCCACTCAGTAATTAGTAGTTAGTGAACTCTGATCCTCAGCAACAGGTAAGTTCACTCGGGAAACAACATGTGGTCAGGTCACTCAGTAATCAGTAGTTAGTGAACTCTGATCCTCAGCAATAGGCAAGTTCACTCAGGAAACAACATATGATCAGGCCACTCAGTAATTAGTAGTTAGTGAACTCTGATCCTCAGTAACGAGTAAGTTCACTCAGGAAACAACATATGGTCAGGTCAGGTCACTCAGGAATTAATGGTTAACTCAATCGCCCCTGAAAACACATTTGAACCTGTCCAATCCAAACGCTGGAATAGATCATTATGAAATTTCAGGGGTGAAAGAGTTAATGTCTGAATCACTGCTGCTTATGAAAATGTCTTGTCGTAATGACAAACTGTGCCATAAGAGACTTTTGAGGACATAGAGAAAATTAAACTTTGATAATTATTGTGATTTTTTTGTTTTTGCATGAAAAGACTTCAACGAAGTATATGAAAAGGAAGTAAAGGCTGACATTTTTCTATACAGGTACAATGCCCCGTTTAAGAAGACCATACAGGAATGGGTGGCAAAGCTGTCCAATACTAACGACATTCTGGAGAACTGGCTGATTGTACAGAACCTGTGGGTGTACCTAGAGGCTGTGTTTGTGGGTGGGGATATTGCCAAACAGCTCCCTCAGGTCTGTACTCTATTCTAATTACTGTATACCAGGACATTTTTGCCAGTTAAACTTTTGCCTTTTTCACCCTCCATATCATAAGGGCGAATTTAACTTGACAGTGAAGATATGCACATAAAGTACAATACATAGTAATAATATGTAAAGGGCGTAAACCAGTGAAGGACATTTAATGGGGGAAAAGTTTCCCGGTATACAGTATTGTGTTGCCTAGTGACATACAGTAAGATGTTTGACGAAATATTTCCAAACAGAATTTTCTGTTAGGTATGTCTTCAAATTTTCATAAATTGAGAAAACTGAATATGTTTGTACAAATACAAGTGGTTAAGAAGATATTATGTACGATTACTGTAAAAGATAAACTTTGTGATGTCTGAAATGATAATACTTTCAGGAAGCCAAACGATTCCAGAACATTGACAAATCCTGGGTGAAGATCATGCAGCGTGCCCATGAAGTCACTAATGTGGTGCAGTGCTGTGTTGGTGACGAGACTCTAGGTCAGCTATTACCTCATCTGTTGGAACAATTGGAGCTCTGTCAGAAATCTCTCACTGGGTAAGTGTTGTCTGTCAGAAATCTCTCACTGGATCAGTGTTGTCTGTTAGAAGTCTCTCACTGGGTAAGTGTTGTCTGTTAGAAGTCTCTCAGTAAGTAAGTGTTGTCTGTCAGAAGTCTCTCAGTAAGTAAGTGTTGTCTGTCAGAAGTCTCTCAGTAAGTAAGTGTTGTCTGTCAGAAGTATCTCACTGGACAACGTCTCTTACTGGGTAAGTGTTGTCTGTCAGAAGTCTCTCACTGGGTAAGTGTTCCCTATTAGAAGTCTCTCGCTGGGTAAGTGTTCCCTGTCAGAAGTCTCTCGCTGGGTAAGTGTTGTCTGTCAGAAGTCTCTCAGTAAGTAAGTGTTGTCTGTCAGAAGTCTCTCAGTAAGTAAGTGTTGTCTGTTAGAAGTCTCTCAGTAAGTAAGTGTTGTCTGTTAGAAGTCTCTCACTGAGTAAGTGTTCTCTGTCAGAAGTCTCTCACGGGGTAAGTGTTCTCTGTTGGAAGTCTCTCACTGAGTAAGTGTTGTCTGTCAGAAGTCTCACACGGGGTAAGTGTTGTCTGTCAGAAATCTCACTGGGTAAGTGTTCTCTGTCAGAAGTCTCTTACTGTGTAAGTGTTCTCTGTTAGAAGTCTCTCACTGAGTAAGTGTTGTCTGTTGGAAGTCTCTCACTGAGTAAGTGTTGTCTGTCAGAAATCTCACATGGGGTAAGTGTTGTCTGTCAGAAGTCTCACACGGGGTAAGTGTTGTCTGTCAGAAATCTCACTGAGTAAGTGTTCTCTGTCAGAAGTCTCTTACTGTGTAAGTGTTCTCTGTTAGAAGTCTCCACTGAGTAAGTGTTGTCTGTTGGAAGTCTCTCACTGAGTAAGTGTTGTCTGTTAGAAGTCTCTAACTTGGTGAGTGTTCTCTGTAGAAGGCTTTTGCTGGATTTGAATTGTCTGTAAAGGATGTCACAGGGTTTATGTTGTCAAACTGAACCTGTCTTGTCTGTTAGACATCTCTCACTTAGCTAAGTGTTGTCATAGAAATCTCTCAATAGGTACGTATTTTTATTGATAATTACTAAATTAGTGTCTCAGTTGGTACATTGTAAGTAATTCAAGAGGCATATATTATTCATTGAATTAATATTTACGTTCAGTAACAATGTGTATTCAGCAACACTAATTTGTGTGATTGTTTTCATACAGGTATTTGGAGAAAAAGAGATTAGTATTCCCGAGATTTTTCTTTATTTCTGATCCAGCCTTGCTGGAAATCCTTGGACAGGCCAGCGATTCTCACACAATCCAGGTAGGAGGATATTCATGGTATCAATTTAATCCTGTAGACATATTATTGTTCTCTTCTGTTGTGTCATCCTTTTGTGTTTGTTGTCACATACTTCGGTTGTTTTCTCATATCCAAGTTAAGTTGGTTCAGGTGGCATAGAAATATTACACTGGAACTTTGTCAATCTTATAGGCAGAGCTAAATACGCACAGTTTCTGATTTTTATGACCAGTAAATAACAATGAATCAAAAAATGATGTGTCTTTCTTTTATGTGTACAATAAAATTTTATAATATTTCCTAAAAAATACATGTGCAGCACCTTTGTTATAAGCAGAAATAATGCCAACTAGCAAGAGTCAGTATTTCAGCACTTCTGGGCCCCTCGATTATATGCATGTGCCAAATTTTCTAGAAGTCAGCCTTGGTTCAGATCTGAGCCTGCAATTTTCTTAATTGATATACAGTAGAACCCGCTTATTATGATATTCTGTTTGCCAGAGAAAAACATTATAATAACCGATATATTATAGTAAAAGATCTAGCTGTTTTCGATCGTCTTTAGGTTATCTGAATCGGAAGTGAGATGCCCTATAATCATCAGACGTTACAGTCGAAACATGGGTAGATATTAATACAAACTGATGTAGTAGTAATTGAAATAACTTGTTAATTGTTGTTTATATCAGCGTGTTAGAAAAACTTCAGAAGATTTCATTTCACCGCGTAATGATCGCTATGTAAATTCTACTTTCACTTTCAAATAACTTCGAGCATATTCCTAAGAACTATCGTTATTATACATCCTAACTAACACTATCTTAATGTAACAGTTAATAGGAACGAAAAGTTGTGCTACATTTTGTCCTATAAGCGTAATAATATTTTGTCCAATATGTTAATTACGACCACATGACAATCACATGCCTTGCAAGTCGTACTGTGAAATAACCTTGCATAGAACAAGTAACAACTAAAAACACTAAATATTCCCTTTTTAACAATAATCAAATTTTCTATTCAACGAAAATGGTGTTTATTGTAAATAAAGCAGTCGTAATCAGATGTTTACTACAATAACGTTGACTTTCGATCAATTTCTGGAACCATGCTGAAAGGACGGTATGCCCCGATTTTGACACTTTTTCAACAGAGATATGGGGAAATCAACTTCTAATGCAATAGAGAAACTTTTGCTTAAATGATTAAAAACACAGGTCTTCCTTCTGGACTAATATTTTCATTGAAATGGGCATAATTTTCTCACATGACGTGTCAAGGTACCCGTGAATATTTACTTATCTAAATTTGTGTTAGAAAATGTCGTTAGGCCAAATAATTTCCATTTGATACACAGTCCTACAGTTTATTTTAGATAGCAATTAACTACTGCACATGTTTTGTTTAGACTAAAATATATGACCATCAGATCAATAGTTGATCTATTGTTTTGAACTGACTGGGGTGAAGCGAGGTATGAAAAATGTACCTGGAGTGGACAGGTGATCACCACGGGCATGAACAATTTTATAATTATCGGGACCTGTTGTCAAGGTGTCGCACGCGGACAACGTACCTGAGTTTTTACCTTCTATAACTCAGTCATGGCAGATGATTTTTTTATTATAATAAGCGGGATTCCACCTTTGACCATATCATTAACTTTTTATTTTGCTTAAAGAAGGAAAAAATTGATACATGGGGGAAAATATTATAATAACCGATATATCATAATAACCGATATCATAATACTGTTTGTTTATATAAGGTATCCATGCAAACAATCTTTATAGCTTGTAACCACCAAGAAATTTACCCACAAATATTTCATGTTATACAGTAAATTGTTGTTAACTTGGATGTAAAGGCATATTGCCTGAATTTATTTGTACACCAGTTAAAACAGAATGCAAACCTGCTGTTCTTTGGTCTAGGCTCATTTGCTGGGGATATTTGAGAATGTCAATGAGGTCCAGTTCCATGAGAAGGATTATGACAGAATGATGGCCGTCATTTCCAGAGAAGGAGAAAAGATTATGGTTGGTGATAGTCGTAGTTTGTGTTCTATTGCATGGTGGTTAATTGTAATACAGTATGATGCCTTAATCAACCCTTTGTTCTCTTGTTTATTTCTTAAAAAAGTGGTTGCATTAAAAGCTCTTATTATACTCAAAATAAAATGGAAATTTGCAAGAACAAAATTAAAAGAAAAGAAAGTCTTCCAGAAACATTTCAGCTACTGATAATAAAAGGAATCAAGATTAGTTAGATGAAATTTTAGTGAGCAAATCAGATAGTGTTTTACAAAACTGATTTATAATGAACCAAAGCATTATAAAAATAAGGAGTAGGTCACTGATTTTCCCTTGGAAACAAAATCAATTGTGTGGGAGTGTTTGTCTTCCAACATGTATTTTCAAAAATAAATTAACAACTATTCAAGGAAAATGTTTAGGTTTGGAGATGTATTTCAAACTTAATGTTGACAGTTGGAGACTGAGATTAGTGCTAAGGGGAATGTGGAGATGTGGCTGGGAGAGCTACTGTACCAACAACAGAGGTCACTACATGGCGTCATCAGGGACGCTTTCCGTAACATCGACACACCCGAGTTTGAACTACTGGGATTCCTTGCTAACTTTCCTGCTCAGGTTTGTTGAATTTTAGGAGGCATGGTAGTCTAGTGGAAGGTTGCCGGGCTCAAGGCTTGCGAGTTCGAGTCACGGCATAGAACTGTGAGCAAGATACTTTCCTAAGCTTGTTCCAGTCTACTCGGCTGTAAATGAGTACGTGGTTGGGCAGTGCTAGATTTGTTGAATGCTAGCTGTGAGTGCCAAAATGGCAGCACTGGCTGTATGCTCCCCAGGGAGTTGAGAAAGATATTGTCTGGTTGCAAAGGCCCTATAACCACGGATAATAATTTGTGAACTGCTTTGAGACCACCTACGAACTAGGTTGTGATAAAGCGGTATATAAGAACCTCAAATTATTATTATTATTATCATTATTATTTATATGTCATGATCAGTGAGAAAAGAGATAACAGTGGTATTTATAGAATGCTTCGAGTGATGGTACCTGTATCTGTTGAGTAAAAGTGATGGTACCTGTATCTGTTGAGTAGGAGTGATGGTACCTGTATCTGCTGAGTAGCAGTGATGGTTCCTGTATCTTTTGAGTAGCAGTTATGGTACAAGTATCTGTCGAGTAGCAGTGATGGTATCTGTTGAGTAAAAGTGATGGTACAAGTATCTGTCGAGTAGCAGTGATGGTAACTGTATCTGTTAAGTAGCAGCGATGGTACCTGTATCTGTGGAGTAGCAGTGATGGTACTTGTGCTTGTTGAGTAGCAGTGATGGCACCTGTATCTGTTGAGTTGCAGTGATGGTACAAGTGTCTGTTGAGTAGCAGTGAAGGTACAAGTATCTGTTGAGTAGGAGTGATGGTGCCTGTATCTGTGGAGTAGCAGTGATGGTACCTATATCTGTTGAGTAGCTGTGATGGTACCTGTATCTGGTGAGTAGCAGTGATGGTGCCTGTATCTGTTGAGTAGGCGTGATGGTACCTGTATCTGCTGAGTAGCAGTGATGGTTCCTGTATCTTTTGAGTAGCAGTTATGGTACAAGTATCTGTAGAGTAGCAGTAATGGTACCTGTATCTGTGGAGTAGCAGTGATGGTATCTGTTGAGTAAAAGTGATGGTACAAGTATCTGTAGAGTAGCAGTAATGGTACAAGTATCTGTAGAGTAGCAGTGATGGTAACTGTATCTGTTGAGTAGGGCTGATGGTACAAGTATCTGTTGAGTAGCAGTGATGGTAACTGTATCTGTTAAGTAGCAGTGATGGTACAAGTATCTGTTGAGTAGGAGTGATGGTACCTGTATCTGTTGAGTAGCAGTGATGGTACATGTATCTGTTGAGTAGCAGTGATGGTACCTGTATCTGTTGAGTAGCAGTGATGGTACTTGTGCTTGTTGAGTAGCAGTGATTGGACTAGATATCCTTTTCATTCCTAGAAGTTTGCAAAATGTCTGGACTTGAAGTTGTAAATTATAAAAGAAATCATCACTTGAAGTTGTAAATTTTAAAAGAGATCATCAAGTTTAACTGTTCGATTATTACCGGTAAATGTCTACTTTTTGGTTACATTTTTGCTAGTGTTACGTCAGATTCCGTCAATTTCATAATCATGGTATTGGTATCTTTCACACATATATGAAAATTGAAGTGGCATCTGTTACAATGTGAAGATATCACTCCTTGTGACCAATTGTTACAGTATTACCTGCATTAAAAGCGGCAGATTTGCTGTTCAGATGCAGACGAAGTGATGGAAGTGGTTATCACACTTGCTTTGTGTGCTTTAGGTTGGATTACTAGGCATCCAGATGATATGGACCAGAGATGCAGAGATAGCGTTACAGCACGCTCGCAGTGACAAAAAGATAATGCTAACGACCAACCAGCGCTTCCTGGACATGCTCAATAAGCTGATTGAGCAGACAACTCACGACCTCACCAAGGTGGAAAGAATCAAGTACGAGACACTTGTCACAATTCATGTCCATCAGCGTGACATATTTGATGACCTGGTGAGTTTTGAAGGGTTGTTTGCTGTTTGTTTACTATATATATAAACTTTTAACATAAATGTTTATTTTTCCACATGGATTTCATTTCTGGTATGTGTACCAGTTTTGATCAAACATTACTGAAAAGTTTATTTAATGTTTACATTTAACTCAATCAAACAGATAACAAAAATAAGAGAAAAGAGCAATCATACATAGAACCAATAAAGAGGGTATGATGGTGGGTGCTGGGCTCAATCATACATAGAACAAATGAAGAGGGTATGATGGTGGGTACTGGGTTCAATCATACATAGAACAAATGAAGAGGGTATGATGGTGGGTGCTTGGCTCAATCATACATATAACCAATGAAGAGGGTATGATGGTGGGTGCTGGGCTCAATCATACATAGAACCAATGAAGAGGGTATGATGGTGGGTGCTGGTCTATCTTGTTTAGCCTAAAATGCTTTCAACTCTAAGACTGTTTGTCCTTAGCTCTATAAAAATAAGCATGAAGTTGCCCTTCACTCAAGGGCAGAAAACATGGAAAACTTTCCAGTTTGCAGTATAAATCATCCTTTGAATCCTTCTGTTTCACTGTTCTAGACAAGGATGCACATCAAGTCGGTGACAGACTTTGAGTGGTTGAAGCAAGCCAGGTTTTACTTCAAGGAGGACACAGACCAGTGTATAGTCCAGATCACTGATGTAGACTTCATCTATCAAAATGAGTTCCTTGGCTGTACAGACAGACTGGTCATCACCCCACTTACTGACAGGTATGTGTATGTCACTCAAATAATCAACTGAGGATCTTAACTTTGGGGAGGGTTTTATTTTTTATTTTTGAAAGAATGTACTGTTTAATTGTATGTATATTTTTGAAAATTTCTTTAAGTTTTGTCAAATGAAATTCAAAATATGAAGTTTGTGATAGTACATTAAAATTATTTTCATTCTTTTCTTAAATCTTGCATTGTGATTCAACATTGACTTGGCAGTTACACTGTAGGACTGGTGTTTACATTGATACATAGATGTTGATTGTCTTTGTTTTTGCAGGTGTTATATCACACTGGCCCAGGCTTTGGGAATGTCCATGGGTGGAGCACCTGCTGGACCTGCTGGGACAGGGAAAACAGAGACCACAAAAGACATGGGCAAGGCTCTGGGCAAATATGTTGTCGTCTTCAACTGCTCTGATCAGATGGACTTCAGAGGTCTTGGCCGAATCTACAAAGGTGATGCTGCAAACACTTTTTATGAAACTGTTAGTGGCATAAAAATAGAGTCAGATATATTCGAGAACAGTTAACCGATATCTTACAGGAGTAAAATAGGAATCAAATTTTTGTGGAAAGAATGTTTATGTCCCTGCCATTTTATTGGGGTGGGATATACCGTATAGCAGGGATGATATTTTCACGATTTTGTGGGTCAATTACATGATAGTGAGAATATGATCCGCATAATATGACAAGCTAAAAAATGAGCCTTGATAATTAACTTCATTACCATAATGTTGTCATGAAAAAGCGTGCATGTGGTTATGACGATTCAGATACTGCCCATACCTATGACGATTCAGATATTGCCCATACCTATGACGATTCAGATATTGCCCATACCTGTCGCGTCCTGTTTTAGCTTAAGTTGATCAAGTACAGTATGTTTTTTCCTTTTCATTACATCCCAGAAATAGTTCAGAACTTTATATTTTCATATCTTAATACATTTGTATATACAATTATTCATCAGAAGGATTTTAACTACATGTCTGTTTGCATGGGATGGGCGTATATTGTACTGCCCTTGAGTACTCATGTAAAAGTATCTATAAATTGGTTTTACACAGGTCTTGCCCAGTCTGGATCCTGGGGATGTTTTGACGAGTTCAACAGAATTGAGTTGCCTGTATTGTCTGTGGCTGCACAGCAGATCTACATTGTGCTGGTTGCTAAGAAAGAGAGAAAGAAGGAGTTCATCTTCACCGATGGAGATAATGTTAATCTCAACCCAGAATTTGGTCTCTTTATTACCATGGTATGATTTGTAATGTCTTTCACCTTCTCTGTACACTGCTGTTCAGGTAAAAGTCAGATGGGTAAAATATGCTTTCAAAAACCCTTGTCTGTCATAACTGGTAGACAAATGTAGTTTTGAACATGATACTTTGATAGCTATGGAAGCTAAGGATTGAATTGTAGATAATGCTTGTGATAGCTATGGAAGCTAAGGATTGAATTGTAGATAATGCTTGTGATAGCTAAGGAAGCCAAGGATTGAATTGTAGATAATGCTTGTGATAGCTAAGGAAGCTATGGATTGAATTGTAGATAATGCTTGTGATAGCTATGGAAGCTATGGATTGAATTGTAGATAATGCTTGTGATAGCTAAGGAAGCCAAGGATTGAATTGTAGATAATGCTTGTGATAGCTATGGAAGCTATGGATTGAATTGTAGATAATGCTTGTGAATGCAATTGTTGAGGATTTAGCAAATGAATGTCAATCAGACTCACTTGTTAGAATATAATGGTCTCACTACACTTACCTGTAACATTCATGAATGTATTCAACCAGTTTTACCTTTTCTGCAAAAGAAATCTCTCAAATGTGTGCTGATATACTCATTGAGGAAATATTTTCCTACAGAACCCTGGGTATGCTGGTCGTCAGGAGCTACCAGAGAATCTGAAGGTCCAGTTTAGGACAGTGGCTATGATGGTCCCTGACCGACAGATCATCATGAGAGTCAAGTTAGCTAGCTGTGGTTTCCAGGAAAACATCATCCTGGCCCAGAAATTCTACACGCTGTATAAGCTGTGTGAGGAGCAGCTCTCCAAACAGGCATGGCATATATGTTTTCTCAGTGGAAAAGCATGACAAGTTCTGAGAGGAATGTCACAGAAGAGTTTCACTTTATTTGAATTTATTGTACACTCTTTAAGCATATTCAGCAGGAAACTAAATTATTGATAATTAGTGGGACATAGAGGTGAAATACTTGAAGGTGTAAGGTTTGAAAATTGTACATAAATCATAACCACTCCTACTCCTTCCTTTGCTGTAAATACATGGAGCTCAAATCATTTGGAAATTATACCAATGCAATAGCGTCCTCTGCGAACTTGATATCCATTGAAAATATCAAGGTTTCTGTTCTTCTCATAATGTTCATGTGTATCTTATTTTAGAGTGCTTGTATTTTGCTTTAATGCTTGCCATGATACTTTTCACAGTGAAACATCATTATTAGCTCACCGGGTCCAAAGGACCAAGGTGAGCTTATCCCATACCGTGGCGTCCGTCTGTCGTCTGTCAACAATTTCTTTAAACGACTTCTTCTTCTTAACCACTTATTGGAATTTAACTAAATTTGACTGGAAGCATCCCTAGGTGGTGGGAATTCAAAATTGTACAAATGATGAGGCTGACCCCCCAGGGGGCTGAGGGGCGGGGCAATAAGGGGGCAATTTGGCTATATTGCTTTAAGCGACATCTTCTCTGGAACTAAGAGATGGATATCAACCATATTTAACTGGAAGCATCCCTAGGTGGTGGGGATTCAAAATTGTACAAATGGTTGGGCTGACCCCCCAGGGGGCTGAGGGGCGGGGCCCTATATTGCTACAAGCGACTTCTTCTGTCGAACTATGCACTGGATATCAATCATATTTAATCACAAGCATTCATGGGAGGCAGGGATTCAAAATTGTACAAATGGTGGGGCTGCCCCCTGTGAGGGTTGAGGGGCGGGGCCAAAAAGGGTTATTTAGCTATATTGCTTTAAGCGACCTTTTCTCTGGAACTAAGAGATAGATATCAACCATATTTGACTGGAAGCATCCCTAGGTGGTTGGGATTCAAAATTGTACAAATGGTGGGGCTGACCCCCCCCCCCAGGGGGCTGAGGGCTGGGCCAAAAGGGGGCAATTTGGCTATATTGCTATTAAAGACTTCTTCCATAAAACTATACCATGGATATTGATCATATTTGGTCGGAAGCATTCATGGGAGGCAGGGATTTAAAATTGTACGAATGGTGGGGCTGAACCCCCGGGCTAAGGGGTGGGGCCAATTTTTTTTTTTACTTGGAAATGGTTGAGATCCCCACCATATTACCATATATACAATTGCTGAGTATAACGAGAGGAATGCACATTTGCTTCAAGGATGGCCCTAGGGTCTGGCCCCACCCTCGGAGACTTAACCCCTGGGTCATAACTTTGAAACGATTAAGCTCCCCACCCCAAAACTATATATACAATTGTTGGGCATAAAGAGACGAATGCAGTCATGATATTAGAATTTATCCTGGGGTCTGGCCACAACCCTAGGGACCTAGTTTCTGAGTCACAGCTTGGAAACAGTTGAGATCCCCACCCCATAACCATACATAAAATTGCTGGGCATAAAAAATCAAATACAGATATGCTACAAGGATTGGCCTTGAGGTCTGGCATATTCCCTTGGATCTCATTTGGAGAATATTTTGCCATGATTGCTTAGATATCCAGGTGAGCGATACAGGCCCTCTGGGCCTCTTGTATGTGATTTGCTTGAGGCTAATTTTGTAAATTCAAAGTGATAGAAAATATCATTTCAGTAAAATATTTTCATTCTCATAGCTTTATATGTAATTTAAACCTATCACTTAGTGCAGCTAGGTTGGTAAATGTAGTTATGACTTTGTCCTTGTGTATTTCCATGTGCCCCCCTTCATTATGATGTCTGAACCCATAACAGATTTGCTTACATTTACAACATTGTAAGTTACATCCATGTCTACCTTTAGTCAATTCTGGTGGTCATCTGTGAATGCTAAAAGAGTCAAAGTCACACTTGATCACTTGAGGGGGTGGGGGTATCTCTATGTCCTGCTCACTATATCTTTTTTCTATTATAACAGGTGCATTATGACTTTGGTTTGAGGAATATCCTGTCTGTGTTGAGAACGCTTGGTGCCAACAAGAGAGCTCGGCCCAATGACACGGAGAGTACCATTGTGATGAGAGTACTGAGGGACATGAACCTTTCCAAACTGGTAATTGTTTCATCAGTCTCCTTTCTGCATGTAGATAATTTGTAAATCTCGTTAGGTCAAATTATTCTGTTTCAAGTAAATCATTCTGGAAACGTATTGTTATTAATACTGTAATACTACAATTCATACATTCACAGCTATTCTTTAGTGTTCTAGTCACATGACCTTTACTGTCATTGTACCATAGTTGCAAACATCATGTAACTGGGCTCTGAAGACGGCCTGCCTTTGGCCGAAACAGCACGTAGGATATAAAATAAAACATTACATTTTGTACCGGATTCAGTGGTGTTGTTGCTCATCATTTCTATTTTCATATTGTTATGAAATTGATTTTTCGAGGAATGCTGGAAACATTATTAGCAAACAACATTTTTGTGAAGTAAAGCATATCTTTGTCCAGCTATATTAAGTATTGAGTGTAATCTGAGTAGAAGATTGGATTGGAGTTAATGTTTTGTTGATGTGTAGCTGATCAGACTTAATCAACTCTCATGACAATAACAGGTAGATGAGGATGAGCCATTGTTCATGAGCCTGATTGCTGACTTGTTCCCTGGGATCGTCCTGGACAGTGCCTCATATGCCGAATTACAGGTTGCTATAGGCAACCAGGTGGAGAATGCTGGACTCGTCAACCATCCTCCCTGGAATCTGAAACTTGTCCAGGTAAACAGTTTTATGTCAGCAAGTCTGTGTGATCAGTGACCAGTTACCCCATTATCAAATCACAATGCCCTTTGCCATGATCTGAAACATTGAAAAACATGAAGTTTGAACTTTTTAGTTGGGTGAGGTGTGTTCTTCCCTTTATATTTTGATTTCCTCCTGTTTTTCCCCAATCCCCAATCACATCTCTGTGTATGATGTTTGTATAATTATTCAGGATATACATACAAGTGGTGCCTGTTTTATATTTTTAATCTGCAAAAAAGCAAAATATAAGCCACACAAATGTGTTGCCCTCTCAATATAGAGATAAGATTGATTGATAACTGGTGGTGTAGCTCCAATGACTAAATCATTGACCTTTGCACCTGCCAAATTACAGCGATATACAATAACTTTTCTCTCTAAAATGCATTGTACTGTAACTGTTAAGATTACTGTATACTTGGAATTTTTCACCTTTTCCCTCTTTCGATGTTATCATAAAAGTGAATATAAGTAAACAGCATACCCTATATATTTATTACATTCTAAGAATGAGATTAACTCTGGGTGAACACGGTTTTTACCAGTAAATAGTAAATATTTCTGGGAGAAAGTTTCCTGGTAAACAGTATATTTGTGATGTAAACAATGCTGTTTTATGGTGAGAGGATGTTGTGTGTAAAGTAAACCATACATCCTTGGTATAATGAAGTCATAAGATTCAGGGCTAATCATTGACTATTTGAAGATAGTTATTGCACACAAAAAACCTGCAAAATGAACCTATCGCCCGCAGCCATCTTATGACCCACTCGCGTCATATGAATCTCCCGCAATCACCTGTCTCTGCTCTTATTAGTATCTCCCTACTTCTGGAAATGTTCCATTTGTGTGTCTTGGAAGTTAGCCTTCTGCTTTAGGAAAAGTTAGTTAGTGGTTAGCAGGTATGATTATGTTTCTTGTTCAAATTCAATCAAGAAAGAACAGAAAGTTTCATGATACCATACAGTAAAAGGTTTGACTGTTAAGTGTTGTGTTGACAGCTGTTTGAGACCCAACGTGTACGTCATGGTATGATGACCCTGGGACCCAGTGGTGCTGGCAAGACCTGCTGCATCTACGTTCTGATGAAGAGTATGGCAGACTGTGGCACGCCTCACAGGGAGATGAGGATGAATCCGAAGGCCATTACGGCCCCACAGATGTTTGGGCGTCTAGATGTGGCGACCAATGACTGGACAGACGGTATCTTTTCCACACTCTGGAGGAGGACCCTGAAAGCCAAGAAAGGTTGGTACAGTGGCTGGTCCTACGTAACCAAAATACGGATTACACAGTTATATAGGGATTATTGTAGTTAAATCTTCCTTTAGATTCCATGCTTTCAGATATCTTGAATGCAGTTATATTTTGATTGTGCTTGAGTGAATAAGCCAGAATTGAACACACCAAAATATCATGATGACAAAAATATGTTACTGCTATAACCAGATTTTGGTAGATCATATTTCTACTTGTTAGGCATAAACTTTCAACTTTCACAATTGCAAGCTATATATCGCCTAGATCTCATGATCAGAGATGTCCTAGTTTTTATTCTTCACTGAGAAGGCTATTGAATTAACATGACATTCTTCTGCTGTTTCCTGAATCTGTTTATTCACCATGGGGAAAAAATAATAATTTATTTTTGATTTACAAAAATATCTTGAAAATGATGTATAAAATGATCTTAAACTTGCCCATTACATTATGATACTCAGGAGAGAATGTTTGGCTGGTACTGGATGGCCCTGTGGATGCTATCTGGATTGAAAACTTAAACTCTGTGTTGGATGACAATAAGACCCTGACACTAGCTAACGGAGATCGTATTCCGATGTCCCCTGCTTGTAAGATTGTGTTTGAGGTGCACAATATCGACAATGCGTCTCCAGCCACTGTCTCCAGGAACGGCATGGTCTACATGAGCTCGTCTGCTCTTGACTGGAGACCCATTCTTCAGGTGATCAGTGCACTTTGAATCTATCAGAAATGTTTTGTCTTCAATATTGAGAAAAAAATCTATATGCTTCCTTTAACCGGCCTTTTACTGGCCTGTACTTAACTTTCATTTAAATCTTAACACTGGATTTTTTTTTATTAGCAACAAATGTGAGGAAAGAAAATAACATATAATTAAACTATTGAAGTGTATTTTATATGTAATATTAAAATTGAACAATGTTGATGTGTAGGGTTGGCTAAAGACACGGTCACCCCAGGAGAGTGAAGTACTGATGAATCTGTTTGACAAAATCTTTGACGATGTCTTCAACTTTGTCACCAATAGTCTTGTCAAGAAGATGGATGTTCTGCAGTGTAATCAGATAAAGCAGGTTAGCTACTTTTGAAAAGGGAAACAACTGCCTATATTTTATTGTTGTTGAGTTAATAATCAACCTAAAATCTGACAGTTCAAAGTGGTTTTTAGCTCACCTGATCCAAAGGACCAAGGGGAGCTTATGCCATACTGCAGTATCGGTCAACAATTTTTTAAAACGACTCCTTTTTCTTAAACGCTGATTGAAGTTTGACTGGAAGCATCCCTAGGTGGTGGGAATTCAGAATCATACTAATGGAGGGCGGGATAAAAATAGGGGAATTTGTCTATATTGCTTTAGGGACTTCTTCTATGGAACTGAAAGATGGATATCAACCATATTTGGTTAGGAGCATTCTCAAGTGGCGGAGATTCAAACTTGTACAAATGGAGGGGCTGGGTCAAAAAGGGGTATTTCGGCCATATTACTTTTAGAGACTTCTCTGGAAATGAGAGATGGATATCAATCATCTTTGATTAAAAGCATTCAGAGGAATGTACAAATAAATGGAGGGGTTGACACCCCGGCTCTGGGGTCTGGCCCCACCCCTAGGGACTGAATTCCTGGGCCATAACATTGAAATGGTTGGGATCCTCACCCAATACCATATATACATATGTTACGCATGAAAAACTAAACACAATCATGACAAGAATTGATGCTTGGGTCTGGCCCCACCCCTAGGGACTGAATTCCCCGGCCATAACATTGAAATGGTTGAGATCCCCAACCTATAGCCATATATATGCCATTGCTAAGCATAAAGATCTAGGTGAAAGATACAGGCCGTCTGGGCCTCTTGTTCTTAATTTTAAGTTTACGAAATGAAGTATATTTGAAATAAAATTTGATGTCAATAACAATATTCAAATGTCAAAACAGCTGTTCGAGTTTTGAAAATATCGTCAATAATGTTTACTGTATTACAACTGTGCCGCTACCTGTATGTTTGATACCCTGTCTAGGGACACAAATCTCTGTTGCACAACATAATACTTCAGGCCTGTGACCTCTCTTATATAATGTTACAGGCCTGTGACTTACTGGAGGGCCTGATCCCCAAGAGAGACGACAAGAGTGCTCTGCCTGCCTCCCACCTGGAGAAACTGTTCATTTTTAGTCTAATGTGGAGTCTGGGTGCCCTGTTGGAGCTTGATGGACGTGCTAAGATGGAAGAATTTATCACAAACCACGAGTGCTCCTTGAACCTTCCTCCCGTCAAGGAGGATGAAACTATCTTTGAATATGTCATGAGTGTCAAAGGTAGGTCCTACTGAATACACACTTGTCATTGAATACATGCAACTATTGGGAACATTTGGCACAAAATCAGATTGATACTGTTCATTATTTCATTTATGCACACAATTAATTTTTGTCTCACTGCCACGAAGTAAGACTAAGGTGTTGCTTTTCTGGCGATTACGGCATCAGCATTAAGTTTTAGCGTTTAAGTTAGTTTCACTGGAAGTATAAGTGCTACACCAACCAAACTTGGACCATAGATGCATCTTAGGTAGTACATCTCAACCCATGCATCAAATACTGGATGAGGCCTACCTTTCATGGTCCATTGACTTTGTCAGCATCTCCATCAACATTAAGTTTTTGCGTTTAAGTTAGTTTCTCTCATATGTGCATTGATGCTCAAAGCGTGGGCACAGGCGAGACATTTCAATCCGAATGGCTTGTTACATTACATTTATTGCAGGACACTTAATTCCCTATATTTTGTCGTTGATAGAGTACAAAAAAGATATGATGGGCACAAGGCCTAACATTAGTTGCAATACACATATAAGTTCAATAAAAACTTATGGATAATTTTAATATTCACATATCATGCAAAACAAACACAATATGCTAAAACTACAATGGAGTGTTCATGGAAACAAAATGTAAAAATGTTAGAATTAGGTAGTGTTATAGTCCTAATGTTTTGGCTAGGCTGTATCGTAGACGACTTAACATTTCATTTTTTTTCATTTGGCTGAAATTTCTTCAGGACTTTCAATCAACTCAATGAACATTCAGTCCTCAAACATGTGTAGACGACTGATTGTGTAGTATTAACATATTCACTGTACTTGGCCTCCAGGGTGTATGGAGAATTAGCTGAACAGGACCCTAAAAACAAAAAGATTACATGGGTTGTGGCCTAGTTACACCTAGTTACTGTAAAGGTGCCATAACTGTTCTACACATTTCACAGGCTGTATTGTCTGATAATATATAGCAGTATATTGTGTTAACCTAAGGACACCTAGTGGGCCTGTATTCATGAAACTCTTCTCATACTTTAGCATGGATTCTGTGCTCAAGCCAGCTTTGTTGTAACTCATCTAAATCATGTCAACAATCAAAAAGTTAAATGTAAATATTGAAAACAGTATTCAGCTTCAAGTTTCTTCAATCTTTGTCCAAAAATTTAACAAAATAAGATTTTTTAAATAATTTATAACTGGAACCAAAAATAAAACTTGAGCACAAACTTGAGCACAAAATCCATGCTTTGAGCATGAGAACAGTTTCATGAATACGGGTCCAGAATGGAGGGTGTTTGAGCATATACCAAACGGGAAGAATAGGTATTCAAGAAAAACATATTAATTATATACTAACTTGTGAAAGGGTTAGCTTGTGTTGTAATACACTAGCGTGCAAGAAAGGAACTAGGAAATGCATAGAAATATATGTCTCTTGTAGGCCAGTCGTTTAACCAATTTAGTTTGATTCATTAGATATCAATTCTTTGTTGTTTTGTGTAGGTGATTGGGAGCACTGGTCAAAGAGAGTGGAGGAATACATCTACCCAACAGACTCTGTGCCGGAATTTTCATCCATCCTTGTTCTAAATGTGGACAATGTCCGTTCAAACTTCCTTATAGACACCATTGCCAAACAGCACAAAGTAAGTTCATAGGTTAAAACACAAACAACTGTATTAGTTTTTTGTAAAGCGTTGTTTTAACTTTTTGGGTTCCAACTTTTTCAGGACCCATTTCCAGTTGTTAATAATCTTGTATGGAAGTACTGTCAGAAGCAAATGAAGGTGGTTTTGATCAATTATTGTATCCATTATTTGCAACATTAATAAATTCTTTTGGAATAAAAGAAGATATACAATTAAAACCAGGTTGTTCCTAACATAATGTTATTTCTTTGGCCCGTACGTTTCCATGTTATACAGTATAGTAGGTTGATATAGTCTTGAGCTCGTGGTAAATTAGCAAAAGTACATATGAAATTTTTTAAATTCAAAATTTGGATAAAATTTCTGTTTTTGTGGTATTAGAATTTCCTTCTTATTGTATGTGGGGGGATTGACTACTCTGACTTGGCTTGTAGGCGGTGCTGCTTATCGGAGAACAAGGAACAGCCAAGACTGTGATGATCAAGGGCTACATGGCTAAGTACGATCCTGACCTTCACCTTGGCAAGAGCTTCAACTTTTCCTCTGCCTCCACTCCTATGATGTTCCAGGTACAGTATATTTAGCTCGTCTGCCTCAAGGGCAAGTGAGCTTTAAATGCAGTGATGCGTAGTCTGTGGTATGACAACTTCTAAAAAAACAAAATCTTTTAGAGGATTTTAAGGAATAAAATTTGGAGAAAAACTTGCACACTGGACGTGGGACACAGGCAGGAAAGGGTGCTGTTAGGCGAATACCAAGTGTTATCGGTGTTAAATCAAACGAAACCAGTGGTTTTACCCACTCGGGCCTGAACAGTGATAACCTCATCCATTTGGTCACTACAAATGGTCTGTCTGCCTCGCACTTTTTCTTGCAGGGCCACACTGCACTTACAGAAGTATCGGGCATCGACACTATTGTGCATTCTCGTAACGATACTTCCACATGAATTCCGACATCATCAGTATCGTTCGAGAATTTACATGTCATCAAGCCAACAACAGCTGGTCACTGTAAGTCAGTTATTCCTCTGAATTTAGTGTCCTTAAACTGTCGCTCAGTGAAGAATAAGTCATTGTCCATCGGGGATTTTGTAACATCTCAGGACATTGACATTCTTGCATTGACAGAAACCTGGTTAGGTTCAGATATTGATGACCAGGTCCTAGCTGAGCTAATACCAACAGGCTATAAATTCCACCACAATGCTAAACTCGGCAAACGTGGTGGTGGGGTGGCTGTTCTGTTTAAGAAAGGCCTAAGTGTGAGACATCTCTCAGTTATAAGCCTGAGGTCATGTGCTGTGATTAGGAAAGGGTACCTGTCATTTTATGTATATATTTTCCTTACAGTTAGGTTGATACAGAACAAATGCTCATAATATTGCAATCTGTAATAAAGTTGGACATGTTTTCCATGTACTTGACTTTCTCTGATGTCAACTTCTGCAATGTTTTGTGATTTCAGCGAACCATAGAGAGTTATGTGGACAAGCGGATGGGAAGTACCTATGGCCCACCAGGGGGCAGGCGCATGACTGTGTTTGTGGATGATGTCAATATGCCAGTCATCAACGAATGGGGAGACCAGGTTTGTATAAGAGATCTTAGAGTTTCAAAATAAATTTAATTGAACCTTCATCAAAAAAAGGTAGGTTTACCCATCTTTTACTCTAAAATATGAAATCATGTAAAATCCAACCTGCTTAAAAATGAATTTTATATATTGAAATAAATTATTTGAAATGCAATCTGCTTAGGAATGATGAACTATAATTGTATGTCAGTGAAAAATGTTAACCTGTGTGTACAGATAACCAACGAGATCACACGTCAGATGATGGAGATGCATGGCATGTACAGTCTGGACAAACCCGGTGATTTTATCTCCATTGTCGACCTTCAATTTGTGGGAGCTATGATCCACCCTGGTGGAGGCCGCAATGACATCCCACAGCGTCTCAAACGCATGTTTTCTATCTTCAACTGCACGCTGCCCTCCAACAACTCGATAGACAAGATCTTTGGTGAGATTTTACAAAACATTGGTTTCATGTGTTTGCTTCTTTATTGGAGCCTAATACTGAATTTCTGTCCTACAACAGTCTGTTAAAGCCACATCCCCTTCCAAGTGATTGGTCAGCCATCAACATAACTGTTATTTGTCGGGGAACCTCAGTGAGGCTGCACTGTAAATGTGCTCCAGTTGACACTTCTGTGAGCTACGATCTCAATTTGAAGTGTGAGCTAGGATCTCAATTTGAAGGACTAATCTGGTCAATGGAAATTTGGTAAAAAAAGTCCTTGCTTTCAACATTGATTTGTTGTAATTGATTTGCCTGATTTGGCTTGGCATTATTGTTGTCCCAGCTATTGTTTCTAGTATGTGGACTCTACAATGGCAGAATTTAGAGTTGGTTTTATAAATTAATAAAGGTTGTATGTTGTTTTGCGTGAACTATTTCAGTACTGCTGACCAGTAGATAAAACCAGCTTTCTTGTCCACAGAATGCTTTATGGTGCATATCTGCTAAGTCATCTGCATTTGTGCTGGTCAACCTGAAAATGACCGCCATAATCTGCAGAGATCGTAATCTATCATGGAATCTCCTGTATTTGCACTGCTTATCTCAACATTAAACATGTTTAGAAATCACCTTTAAAAGCTATAAAAAATGAAATACTATTAAAAGACATACATGCGATATTAAAAGGCAAATTTGGATAGTTTAAATGTCATACTACATATTTTGATGAATTTGGATAGTTTAAATGTCATACTACATATTTTGATGAATTTGGATAGTTTAAATGTCATACTACATATTTTGATGAATTTGAAAGTTTACATACTGACAATTATGTGATGTGACCTGCATTAGGACCCTCTATGAGCCTCTCATTTCATTGATGAGTACTTGGCAGGTATGATGGTGTCAGTAAAGCACTGACAACATCAGGTGTAAGTTAATACAATGAAGGTGAACATAATCTGTGACACTGGTGTTTAATGTGTTTCAGGCATCATAGGGTGTGGTTATTTCTGCCCAGAGAGATTTGAACCTGAAGTGTGTACCCTGACCAAGGAACTCATACCAGCCACTCGCTCCCTGTGGCAAATGACAAAGGTATAACAACAGCACCAGATTAAAGCTTTTTGGTATTTTCTGTATATAATAGTCTGAAAGATAAGGTCAGGCTTTGTTGTCTTCAAAACAATTAAAAGGATCCGACAAAGCTTTTTGAGGTATCCGAATGTTCAAGAAAACTGAATTGGGCATTAATGCTTATTGAATGTAAAGTCATTGTATCTTTACAAAACATTTTAAATATCAAACATCTCTAAACAACGATCATTACTTGTTACCGTAATTCCCCACTCTGAATGTTAAGTCAATGTATCTTTATATGGTGAATATGTCAAAACATTTTAAATATCAAACATCTCTAAACAACGATCATTACTTGTTACCGTAATTCCCCACTCTGAATGTTAAGTCAATGTATCTTTATATGGTGAATATGTCAAAACATTTTAAATATCAAACATCTCTAAACAACGATCATTACTTGTTACCGTAATTCCCCACTCTGAATGTTAAGTCAATGTATCTTTATATGGTGAATATGTCAAAACATTTTAAATATCAAACATCTCTAAACAACGATCATTACTTGTTACCGTAATTCCCCACTCTGAATGTTAAGTCAATGTATCTTTATATGGTGAATATGTCAAAACATTTTAAATATCAAACATCTCTAAACAACGATCATTACTTGTTACCGTAATTCCCCACTGATACTACTTTGAATACTTATGTGTCAGTCTGTGTGTCACTCTGATGCATATCTCATGTACTTATTCACCTACAATTGCCAAAGTTTGTTTATCAGTACCTATTGGGATTGTACACTGTTGCATGCTAGAATTTGGTGCACATTTGTTTTTCTGGAGCAATATATCTCAAAAATCAGTAGGAATTGGATCTTCAAACTTCACACACTGGTTTAACAGATTTTTCATTTATAATTACAGATCAAGATGTTGCCTACCCCTGCTAAGTTTCACTACATCTTTAACCTGAGAGATTTGTCGAGGATCTGGCAGGGCATGCTCACCATCAAAGGGGAGGAATGTCAAAACATGAGCACTCTCCTTGCTCTTTGGAAACATGAGTGCACGAGGGTCATTGCTGACAGGTAATTGTTACCAGTGAAACCGGAGTGACTATAGGTACTGTTATCTCTGTAGTATTTCTGTCCATATCAATGGTCAGTCTGTCAAAAGTTATTATATTTGTGATGTTCGGGCGTTTAATCAAATCTATTACCTGTAACAGAGCGAGATCAGGTTATCTCAGTTTATGGCTAAGATTCTGTAACATAATCCCAACCAAGGTGTAAGCGAATGAATACAATGTAGTGTAAAAATTCGGCGAAAGGTCATGTAAAGGTACCAGACAGATCGGACGTGATAGAAAAATCTAGCATGGGGTATGACTTGGGATATCTCTGAGGTGTGAGAAAATGTGGTCTGTTACAGGTTCACCAACCATGAGGATAAGTCTTGGTTTGAGAACGCCACAGTGAGTGTGATGAAAAACCTTCTGGGTGAGGAGTATGCCGCTGTGTGTCCAGAGGAGCCCTACTTTGTGGACTTCTTAAGAGAGCCTCCAGAACCAACGGGAGAAGAGGCAGATGATGCTGTCCTTGATGCTCCAAAGATATATGAGGCAGTAAGCTCAGAGTTTACGATGAAAATTATACAGGAGCCAATGATTCACTAGAAGCTTGTAGGGTATACTACACCTGAAATTGTGTGTGCAACCTAAAATCTGATTTTCAAAACAAATGTAAAGGAATTAGGACTTGGTTGGTCTCCTGCAACTAGGCAGCTCCATTGGCTAGATTGTCCATCTAGAGGACAGAGGTCCTGGGTTCAAATCTTAGTCTTGCCTTGCAATGTCCTGTCCTGTTACAAAAATATGTAAAATCGTCTAGGAATTGTTCCAGAAATTTATGCTTTTCAGATTTCATTGAGAAATTCAGAATTGGTGATTGTTGATGTAAAACTGACTTTATTGTAATAACAGCTTTTGTGCCGGTATTGGAATCTAAATTAAACTAGGTCACTGGTAAAATGTTCTTTCTTGCTGTAAAAACTAATTTATCAGAAATTTAGGTACCGAGTATGTTGACAATCTTGGGAATGAAATTCTGACATGTACATTTTTGAAACAACTTTGATTTTAAACATGTTGATGTTTATGTTGTCCAGATTCCGGGCTATGATTTCCTAAATGAAAAGCTTCTAAGCTACATGTCACAATACAACGAAATGGTCAGGGGCGCACACATGGATCTGGTCTTCTTCAAAGACGCCATGGTCCACCTCATCAAGGTAATGCAAACAGCATTCTGGATCCCCGTATACTTTGTTTTGGATGTAGGCTTTATCAGTGTGGTGGCAAGTTGTAGCAATATCGATAAATAACATTGATAATTGAATACATAATGGAAAATGAAACAAGTACAAATGTACAAGAAACACCTATATGTACCTTTAGGGAACATTTGATGTTTAGTGTCCTGGCAGCAATACCTATATTTCATGTTTTCTGTGTTATTGCTTGGGATAAAAATAAGCAAAATATGAAATTGAACGTTTAAAAGACATGACAATAAAGTCTTTTCAATGCCTGAAATGCTTTAAACAAAATTGTGTCTTTGTGTGTGCAGATTTCCCGCATCATACGTACCCCTCGAGGAGCAGCCCTGCTGGTTGGAGTTGGAGGCTCTGGTAAACAGTCCCTCACTCGCCTGGCTTCCTACATTGCTAGCTACAAAATCTTCCAGATCACACTCACGAGGTAACTTGTACACTTAGCAGGGTAAGAGATATTCTTCAAAAAGTATAGGAAAACAAAACGATCAGAAATAAAGTGATAATAACAACACAATTCAGAGTAAGTCTTGTTTGTCACCTTTCTTTCATATTTTTAGACCATCATTTAAATATCAGATCATTGGCTGTTCAAATAGCCTTTTGTCTATGGTCTGTCTTCTGCCTGCCACATATCCTTAAATAATTCTTGTTATCTCTATTTCTCAAAATGTCTGGAAAAATACCTATCTAAGATTACTTGAGGTTGATCATTTTGATATTTGAAAATTTGTATTTATCTTTTTGGATAAATGTATCGCAGAGTGACATTTAAATGTGTTTTATTGTCAAATAATTTGGTTAATATATCTTAAATATTATTTTTATGACAAAGACATTAAATATAATATAAAAGTCTTTGATACTACGTATTTCCAAACTGCGGACTCTTTTTGAAGACATTAAATATGGTAGAATTGTATGCAGTTATCAGTATTGCTATAGATATAAAATATTTTTTCACAGCCTTGGCCGTTGATTACATGGTAATATTTTATTTTTGCATGCATGCTTTGCTTGTAGCTGTAGACATTACCCATATTTTACACCAATGTATAAAAAGATGCATGAATGCTGCTTGCTAATAATAGTATGTCATTTTCAGTAAACTAATTGATCTATCAGCTTACTAAAATAATGATTGGTTGCAATTCTTACTTAATTAGCTTGATTAGAGATGTTAAAATTAATTCTATTCTATATGACCCCAAATTAACCATATCCCAAGTGAAAATTATGGAAGAGACTTTTAAATATTCCCTGGTAAGAAAGTTGAGTGCATGACTCGAAACTCTTCTTATCAAAAATCTGATTCACAGTAAATTGGATGGAAGGCTATGTTGTGTTTTCTTTCTCCTCTTGCACTGAATGCACTAATGTATTAATTTCTTGAGCTTTTGAATAATGTTTCATAAATACTGACTTAATACCTGTGATCACATTCATATTTTTTTTTATCTATTATTCACATTATAACAAATACTGAGAAACAAAGGGTATACATGTGTTGATTGTAGATTGTAAGGCCAAACAAAAAATAGTTGGGGTTTCCGGTTAACCCTACCTACCCTAATTTTTTGTGCCTACCCCAAACTTTTGAGGGCAATTTTCAAAGAAGCACTGTTAAAATCAAGATTAATCTCCTATATAAACAATATAAAATTATTTGTTGGAATAAAATTTGTTACCTACCTGCCCTAAATTTTTCCAACATATTACAGGAAACATAATTTTTGTGTCACCTGCAACTCAAGGCGACATATAGGTATTACTTTGTCTGTGTCGTCACAAACAAGGTTTCCGTGCGATAACTTTGAGTTCCTTTGGCTTGATTGAACTCAAACTTCGTACACATATTGCATATCAATAGCTCAGACAAGTTCGCATTTCAGAAGAAGTTTACGTGCAATTTTTGGTGGAGTGATGCCCCTTTTATTGCCAAATAAGGGCATTGTGTAGTAAATGCAAGAACTTTTTTATTTTTTAATCAATTCCTTTCAAATTTTGTACAGTAATGCTTGAAGCAATAATGTTCAACATATATTACAAGTTTTTCTGTTGAATTTCAACTTTCCGCATATCTGTTTACGCGATAACTCAAGCCAAAACACTTTTCTTACTAAAAGCGCTGAGCAGGCGACACATCCACTCCCGTGGAATTCTTATTTTTGTCTTGCCTAAACGTAGAATATCATCAAATAACATCTGAAATTGCTGGTTAAGAGTTCCTGACTTGTAATCAGTACAAACTTGCTTTCTGTATGATTAAGATGAAGGTTTGTATTTTAGGAGTATGACCATGAAACAAGATGTCATACAACAATTATAAAGTTGATATTTAACGGTTTCCTGTCGAATACCATATACCGGTAATATCATAATATTTCACGAGTGGCTGAAAACCTTCTATTTATTACAATATATTTTCTCTTTTATGCATTTTACAGTGCAACAAAAAAAAAGCAAAGTGTAGGATCTAGTAACATAATGTAAGGGTCTGTAATCTGGGGCCTGTTTCTCAGACTGACTTGTGTTGTTTTTTTCTGAGTTTATATCTGCATTGTAATACCCAAACCTTTTGTGATATTCACACTTCAGAGGTTCATCTGTATTTGTATTCAGTACCTTTGACTGTACTTATTATGATATATTGTTTTTTGTGTGTGTAAAGGTCATATAATGTCACTAACCTGATGGAGGACCTTAAATACCTGTATCGTGTAGCAGGATGCCAGGGTCAGGGCATCACCTTCCTCTTCACTGACAACGAGATCAAGGATGAGTCCTTCCTCGAGTACCTCAACAATGTACTCAGCTCCGGTGAGGTACAGTACACACCAGTCATAATCAAACAAATGCGGAGCGAGGGTGGGCTTATAGTGTTACCCATGTATGTCTTATGATTCATTCCCACATCTCTTTCAACTTCATTTCTTAAACAGATTTTCAGAACTTAATAAAAAAAGCAAAACAAAAAATGTCTTTCTGTGATTGGGTTGAATGTCTGTAATGTCCATGCAAATTATCAGTCCCCCAGCAGCACTACTGGGTGGGAATATCGATTTGCACTTTGTCCGTGTGTCAATTTTCTCTGGGCATATCTAAAATAACTTTTCACCTGCAATTACTGGGTTTTGTATGCGAATACCTGTTAGGATAATAGTTATTATTATTGGGCCTCAAGCTGCACAATATATGCAGAGTTATGACCCTTTGCTCACAATGTGTTATTTTGTCAGAGGCACAGCTCAAATACCCCAAATCAGTAACAGCTAATTTGAGACCACAGCATGCCTCATTCTAAAATTTGGTGCTGTGCCCCATTATATACAGTTATGTCTATGTTCAATTTTGATACATAAGTTTGTCTTGAGATGGGGAACTAATGGGATGCTTTGCCTTGTTAATTAAATTCTTTGGGGGACCTCTTATAAAAGCTTGAGTCCTGGGGTTGGATAGATATTTACTGGAATAGCCCTAACCTCTTTGCTGTGGTGTTGATGCTTATATTACCTATGCCTACCACCAGGTATCTAACCTGTTTGCAAGAGATGAGTTGGATGAGATAACCCAAGAGCTTATTGGTGTGATGAAGAAAGAATATCCTCGCCGAGCACCCACCCAGGAGACTCTCTACGACTACTTCATCTCCCGCGCTCGCAGTAACCTTCACACTGTCCTCTGCTTCTCTCCTGTAAGTAACACCAAGAACTAAACACTTCCAAATAGAACGAATATATCTGAGTCGGTTTTAATTGTTACATGAAGATGTATAGACTTGCATAGACAGATTGTAATTATTTTAGAATCATCTTTTTTTATAATACAATCTTTGGAAAAGTGATTTGTGTTCACAAGTTTTCAAAACATCTTACTGGAGTGTGGGTGGTTTATCTTGTCCATATTAGTTGAGAATGAGTATTGGAATTTCTATCTTGCTGAAAATTGAAAAATAAATAAGTAATCTGTCACATTGATTACTCTATAATGGAACTTTTTTTCCCCTCACAGTTTAATTTTTGCCTTTATCGCTCTCCATAATGAGGGCGAATTATTCACGATAGCGAATGTAAGTACACAACATATAGTTATAAATGTGAAGTGCAAATTAACTCTGGGCCAATAAAGATTTTACCATTGAAGGGCAAACTAACACTGGGCCAATACAGATTATACCATTGAAGGGCAGACTAATGCTGGACGAATAAAGATTTTACCATTGAAGGGCAAACTAACACTGGGCCAATACAGATTTTACCATTGAAAGGCAAACTAACACTGGGCCAATACAGATTTTACCATTGAAGGGCAAACTAACACCTGGGCCAATAAAGATTTTACCATTGAAGGGCAAACTAACACTGGGCCAATACAGATTTTACCATTGAAAGGCAAATTAATGCTGGGCGAATAAAGATTTTACCATTGAAGGGCAAACTAACACTGGGCCAATACAGATTTTACCATTGAAGGGCAAACTAACACTGGGCCGATACAGATTTTACCATTGAAGGGCAAACTAACACCTGGGCCAATAAAGATTTTAACATTGGAGGGCAAAGTAACACTGGGCCAATACAGATTTTACCATTGAAGGGTAAAAATTTCACTGGGCTAAAGTTTTGCGGTATACAGTATGTTATTTGTTTCTTTCTAGGTGGGAGAGAAGTTCCGTAACAGATCTTTGAAATTCCCTGGCCTGATCTCCGGTTGTACCATGGACTGGTTCAGCCGCTGGCCCAAAGACGCTCTGATTGCTGTGTCGGGACATTTCCTCAACAGTTTTGATATTGCTTGTACAAAGGAAATAAAATCCCAACTTGTCAACAGCATGGGTTCTGTCCATGACAATGTCGCCTTGGTTTGTGTGGACTACTTCCAGAGGTAAACGACAGTGTAGTAATAAAAACAAATATTACCATCAGGTTTTTAGGTCACCTGAGACAAAGTCTCAAGTGACCTATTGCGATCGCCTTTTGTCCGTCGTCGTCCGTCGTGCGTCCGTAAACAATTTACATTTTCGACTTCTTCACCAAAACCCCTGAACCAATTTCAATGAAATTTTGCAGGGACCTTCCATGGACAAAGGTCAACAAAAACAGTTGCCGGTTTAGTCCTAAACCCAGTGTTGTCAATAAGAATAATAGTAGGAGGTTAATGAATAAAAAGTAGGAGGCACCATTTTCTTGAGGGCCTAAGGCTCGAACGGCGGCCAAAGGCCGCCGAACGAGGGCCGTAGGCCGGAGCCAGGGGGAGAGCACGAGAGGGGGCTGGAAGCCCCCTTCTCGTAAGGGGGGTATGGGGGGTCACCCCCGGAAAAAATTGAAATCCTAGATGACCGGAGATGGCTTTTAAGCACTTTTGAGAGAAACAAATGAGGATAATTGTTCATTATACAAACATCAATATCATGCAAATTATTTTCCATTCAACTTTAAAATTGGAAATTTTTCTACTACCCATGATGCTGAAAACGCATTCTCCTGGAGGTCAAAAATTCAGTTTTTTGACAGGATACTGTTTGTTGTTGCATTGTCTCAAAGAATAACTATGATACAATATTTTGAATATTTATATAATTTGTTTTTTTCAGCCATTCCGAGTACTGAAACCACTGGACCAATCAATTGACATGTTCACACTGATTTTTTAGCTATTCATTTGTTTAATTATTTAATAATCTGGGACTAAGAAATTAATAGTTATATTTATTAAATGTGTATTTTTAAAGTTTTTCAATTTATTTTCATTATAATTTAGACAAAAACAATATGTAATCAATTAAAAACAAATGCAAAAAAAAACGTACTGTTTTTTTGAATGACAAAATAAAATGTTGAAATAAAATGTTACAATATTAAAATTAAATTTTGATATTTAATTAAGTCTTCATAAATGCTGATAAATGCTCATGGCCAGTCAAGTGTATTTCGGACGTGTGCAAGTCTATCGATAGCACTCGCCTAACAATCTGATATCCATAATTACTAATTATTAGCTGTATAGTTCTAATGTAACATT